AGTGGTCATTTTCGGCTAGAAACTTAGGGCCTTCTCAGTTTCTCTGTCGTCATGCGTCTTGCCCTGGGCATGTGTGAAGACTTCTGTACTCCTCTATATGCACAGGTGCTTTTGATGTCCTAATTTCTCAAAGAAACCCTTGCCAGTGTTTTCCCCCAGGTCTTGAGTGGTCTGTTTTATGGTTTGGGTGTGATCTTTTGCCCCAGGTGTCTGCCGACTCTTAATTTGACCTGCAGTGTGTTCAAGAGCAAACAAAGCCTGACTTTTTTTTTCTTTTTTATTAGTTAGATGAAAAAGGAGATAAACATCTTCAGTCAGTTCTTCAGGCAGTCCCTAACAAGTTAGCATTGATTTACACTTACGGTCTTCTCTGCTCCCTCTGGGACCAGGTGCAATTTGTTCACACTAGGAACTAGCTTCCATGTCCACAACTGCTGCTGATCTAGGATAAGGGTAGACCAAAACCCCACAAAGCTTTCAAGTTGCCTTTTTCTTGACTCTTTGTTCATTTGGTTCTTACAGATCTTCGACTATTTCCAAAGTCAATGCAAAGTTTGCTCTGACAGTACTTGTTTTCTGATGCTTCTGTTGAAAGATGAGAATTTAGAGCTGTGTTTTCTGCCACTGCTGATGTCATTCTCCTGTCTTTTAAAAAAGAAAATTCTGTTTAATATTTAACAGGAATAACAAAAGTATTATCTTCTTAAAATTGTCCACTTAGTGTTATTTATTTCAAATGGTTGCTATGCGTTTGTTTTACATCTGAGTTTCATTATCTAATTTAATAATATGAAAATATTATGTAGGGAACTAAATATGCCTATTGAATCATTAGAATGTAGACAGATTAACAATAGAGAAAATGAATAATTATTAAATAAACAAATTTCTTACATTTATTTGAGCACTAGCTCTTAAACCTAAATGTGTGATCCTAGATTTTCAGCATAAATAATTGACTTAGCATATTGTTTACCTGATTCTTGAAATAATGTAATATTCTTTGTGGCTACTGTTTTCATAGACAATGCTATTATTATCCTTTGCCTTAACTGTATATCAACACATGAATATACTTAATTTATAGATTTTTTTTGTATTGTTCTTTGAATGGGATTTTAAATTTAAGTAAAACATTTCAGTAGTTATCCTCATTCATTTAAAAAAACTCACAGTTTTAGGTGTTTACACTATTCATTTATGCCATATTATCCATCATAACTAAAGATGTGGCTACTCAGCTTTGTTTTCAACTTAGTTTAACCAAATATTTTCCCATTACTATTAATAATTTATCACACACACTTGGTGACATTTCTCTGACAATTCAGAAGTCAGCCTTTTTAAAATTATGTAGTACTTTTCAGAATTCATACCTAGTGTGATATGATACCCTAAAATTTGATTTTTTATGTATAAGCTGAAGGCACAGTTGAGTAGATGTGCTTGTTTATAGCATTATTCTGCTTGCTTTTTATCTAACCAAGTTTGAAATCTTGGTCCTCCCTTACAAAGCAGATGTTTATGTATTAAAAGCACTATTGAAATCTATTGTAAACCTTCATTTAGCATGATTTCAACACTGCACAGATACTATAAATGCTCTTAGCTCAACATGACTGCAATAAAAGCTAAAAAAGAGTCCAAATTTAATTTATTCTATTTTTGAAATTTAAATCATCATTATACATATTATGGTTTTCACAAGTTAGATACATGTATGTTGAGAATTACAAATGGAAAATACTATATGCTCTTTGTATCCTCATTAAAAACATTATAGCTATGAGCATTTTTTTTCAAATCAGGCAACTTTGTTTAATTATGAATGTTGTGAACTCATTTTACAAAGTTACTTACCAATTAATGAGAAATGAATGTGTTATGTAAATTTCAAACTGTAATGGTCACAGGTAATTGATGAACTGTTCCTATAAATATATACATTGTACAATCTTATGCATATATACAGTAACACACAAAATTTGTATGTTATTTATTGTATATAATTTGTATATTTATTTAAAATTTACTCAATAAATATATCTAGTTTATTTTTTGGTTAGTTTACATTAAATATTGAAAACACTAAAATCACAATTGTATTTTTAAAGTTTACTCTGTTGTTAAAATTACTTTTCAAGCAAGTGAAAGGAGCTCTTATTTTAAAACACGTTTGTTCTGTTAGATCATTTAAAAGGTCTTTGTGTGAGAGTACTTTAGTGCATTTTCGTGCCCGCGCGGGTGTGTGCGTCTGTGAGAGAGAGAGGGAGGGTGGGAGGGAGAGAAGGAAAGATCTGAAAACAACCCATGTATCCTTGTTACAATTAGAGCTACCTGACAACTTAGTTCAAGAATCAGAACAGCAAGGAGAAACATCATATTAAACTCTCTTGCGCCCTCTGTTGTTGTTTTTGAGGAACACTACATTTACCTTCCCATGGTTATAATGGCCTTATATTTATTAAAGTCCCTGATACAATTAATGATAATTTACTATACTTACCTCCAAACTATGTTGACAGTAAAGTAGCATTTGTTTTTAATTCTTAGGTTGTCTTTTTCTCGTGATACAAATATGTTTTTAGTGTATAACAGCTTAAATGAAAATTGAACTTTTCTGTTTGTCCTTTGAGTTCTCCTAGTTACAACCAGTTTTAAGCTCCTCCAAGTGTTTCACACAAATGAAAATCTGTACCGGATATAGCACACTGTATATGTAATTTTCCAGAATTATAAATCCTGCCTGTTCTTTTGTAAACCTTTCAATTGTCAGACAGTTTCTTTCCAAAATAAAAGTCTAGAGTCGTCCATACTAAAATTAAGAATTTATAACTGTAAGGAACAGATGTTTTCATAAACATTTGCTATAATTAATTTCAACTGGAGAATTGAAGGAACAAAGCAGTTTTTCCCACTTCAAAACTTTATTACCTTTTCCCCATGTAGCAAACTCTGAAATCTTTTCTCTAATACTGTTTAGAGAAACAATTGTACTCCTTATTTGGTATGTTTTTGAGCAAGAAAAACTGCTTTTTTTCCTTATTACTATCCTTTGAAGGTTACATTTAATGTGATATATTCATTTCCAAACAGGTATAAAATGAAAAAAACCTTTGTGATGTATTTTAATGAAAAACTTTGGTGTTTAAAAAACTGAAAATCTCTTATTTGAAGTATTTTATATTTATTATGATAATATAAGCAGAGGACAAGAATATACTGTTGGTGAGATCTTATGTATTTAAATAATCATAGTCTTTATTTTTGAAGAAGAAAGCTCACATTCTAAACGTATGATATGGTACTTATTCTATACTGATTGTGGAACGTTTCACAGGAAATGTCTGCAAGCTGTTAATAACATGTGTTGTAGGAAATTTTCACTTAACAAGACGGAGGGAGACTAATTTTCCTTAAATCTTTTTAATTTATTTATGATAATGCTATTAATTTTTTTTCAAAAGCAAATGAAGTGTGTTGTGACTCATCTTATGGTACCCATGTTTTCAAAGAATTAACAAAATATACTCAACTAGATTGATCTTAAACATTTAAGTGTTTTGGATTATTTTCTTCTATAAAATTTGGCAACATTTCGAATGCTATAATCATTTTTAAGGTTTTTGTTTAATGAAAAAGAAAAGCCTGAAAGTGTATTTTGAAAAAAACATAGACTTAAAAGTTCAGTAATTGAGCCCTGACCACTTTCATTCTTTTAAATAATTTAGGTGCAACAGCAAAGATTTTGAAGAGAACCAACATTTTTGACTTATCTGTCAGCTATAAAACATGCAAAGAAAAATAGACAGCTATCATTAAAATTGCATTTTAGCTTTCAAAAGCCATTAATGAGCAGCATAATCATAGTAGTAGGGTATCTTCAGTGCTATATTCAATTATTTAAAATAATCTCATTTGTAAATGGAAAGCTCTGTAATTACTATTTGACCTAACCAGGACCACTGTGATGATGTTCAGTAATACTGTTCTATGTTCAAGTGGATTAAAAGTATAAATAAAAATTGGATAAATCATTAAATTATTAAGCTTTAAATATCTTAAAAGTGAATATAACCCAATGTTTGAAATTTACATTATAAAACTTAGGAGTATAAAATGTAATCAGATTCTGATCTATTTAATTTGTTTCTAAGAATAAGTGATATATTTAATAGAAGTATCTGTGCTTTCATGAAAACTATACTTTTAAGCATATGTTTAAAATTTTAAGCTAAAATTAAATTTCTTTCAATAATATATATTTTATATTGTAGAAGTTTTTTAAACTTACTTAGCAAATTTATTCTATGATCTTTAAAATGATGGTTATAAATTTGTTCGAATCTGATTTTATGAATATGCTTGTATGAACAAGTTTTTCTCCCTAAAAGTTTGATGTTTTACATGAGGCAGAAATACCTTTGATGTTGATTTTTTAAATGGGTGAGCTTTTGCCTACAGGGAAAACGTGAAGTTTGGGGAAGACTGCTGAGGTGTAGTGACAGCTCTTGGAGTGCATTCTCAGTCACCGCCCTTCAGCTCGCTTGTGTCCCTCTCTGCAGACCAGACTCTGGGGAGCAGACGGGGAGGGCGCCGAGTCTGCCGTGTGCTTGCTCTGCTCAGCGCCTCGCTGGGCAGGACACCTTAATGAGAAGCTGCCTTTGGTTCATAAGGAGTGGTGTACAAGTTTTGGTTCTGTGATTCATAGGAAGAAGATGTCTGTATTATACTTCATTTGTCCCTGTTAGTAGTTACTTTGGCAATATTCCTATCCAAGTTCCAAGTGGTGGTCTTAGTCTATATTTTAGTGTCAAAATGAAGTTTTAGTTTAAAGGGCTCTGATTACAAAAGCTCTTTGGGGGAGAGATAAGGGAATATGTGTTTTCTGACTCAGTATACTGCGTGGGGCTGTCTGTCAGACAGCAGCTTTTCAACTGAAATGTTCAGTTTTATAATCTGCATTATTTCAGTGTTTTTCTTTTCTTTTCTTTTTCCAGGAGATTCAAATCAAAATGGAAGAAGAATAAGTTCTTTAGACTCTGATGGGACTTTTAATTCCTATAGGTAGGTGATGAATACATAGATATAAAATAAGATAATGTTCAAGATACCTAATCTTAAAGTGAAAGTGAAAGTGAAGTCTCTCAGTCGTGTCTGACTCTTTGCGACCCCGTGGACTGTAGCCCACCAGCCTCCTCTGTCCATGGGATTTTCCTGGCAAGAATACTGGAGTGGGTTGCCATTTCCTTCTCCATACCTAATCTTAGAGGCTTCTAATCTTAGAATAGTAAGTAACTGTAACCTGTGCTTTAAAAATGTGACAAATGTAAAGAATGCTGTGGTTCTGCAGACTTATCAAGTAGGTGGAGTTATTGTAAATACCTGTTGTTACCCTAGAGTAGGATGATTAGAATGAATGCCCATGTATGCATGTATTAAACTTCATTGTAATCCACTTTGCTTTTGTTTTTCCAGTGTATCTGTTACAGTACTAAAGGCTTCCTTTGTTTAAGTTTCCTGCTAATACAGAGTATAAAATGTAATCCGTGGTTCCATTAAGTGATGTTGTTAATGTCCTGTTTGGCTCCTTTAACAAAATACCTTACAAATATTGGAGTTACCCACTCTCTTCTTTGAGTGCTGAAGTGTAATAGAAAGCTTGGAATTGACTTATTACATAATGGGTAGCATCTTCTATCCAAACATGTTGATCACACCTAAAAAGTAGATGAATTTAAAAGATATTTACTTCTTTATTTATTGGCTGCCCTGTGTGGCTTGTGGGACCTCAGTTCCCCAAGCAGGGATTGAACCTGGGCCCCAGCAGTTTGAAAGGGCAGAATTCTAACCACTAGACCACCAGGGAACTCTCTATAAAAGATATTTAAATAAATGCTCATTTGGCATGTAACTGAGGAATGCTAAGATGATAATACATGTGAGATCTATGGTGGAAGTATCATTTTAGATATAAATACTGTTTAAAAAAACCCAAGACAAAAGGAAAATAAAGATGTATTTCAAAGGATGGAAAATCTATATGTATATATCGATTTTATTGTTGAATTTCACAGCTACTTTTGTAGTTCAGCTAATTATAGTAACTGATGGACATAAAGTCAAGAGAAATGTATTAATATGAAGGCACAGTGTTATCTTGTAGTTTATTTTGTTCTTGAGTAGTTTGAAGATTAAAGTATCTTAGTATTATTGCATGATAATTGTACTTTGAAAATGAACTCCTAATGCAACTTTGCACAATAAATACTAATGTTGTTAACTAATATAGTTTTAATCAATGCCTGTCAGTGTTGTAATGTTAGGATATTAATTTATTGTTGTAATTAAAAAGGCAAGATAAAAAGCTCAGGTAGTACAGTATATAAAATGAGCTTTTAATAGTTGGCAGGTCAGTGCTGTTATTAAATAGCATTATAGTATTTAAGTTGTGAAATGGATATTTTTCTACTGAGTAGGCAATAGCTCTTACAATATAATGAGCTTACTTGTGAATTTGACACTTGGGTTAAATGGCAGAATTCATAGAAGCACAGCTCTAGGGTCTATTTTCATATCAGGTTAACTGATAAAACCTTGAAATTGTTGCAGAATCACACTTCGGTGGCAACAGAATTGTCTGTAAAGTTCAAAAATGAAAATAATTTTTCCATTACTATCAGAGCTCTTTGAAGCAAGTAGAAATAGGTTATTAGAAAAATGTGAATATTTCAACCCTCAAATATCCTTTAGCCCTACACATCTACCTTTGTATTTAGACCATCTCAGAAATCCTGACCTTTCTTCACATATAATTCTGACTGTCAACCTAGTACCAGGATACTCAAGCTATATGTGCTTGTGTCTGGGATAACAGTTGGCGTTAATTTGTTATCTGTAGAATGGACGTTATAATGTCTGATCCGATTCTTTCTCACAACTGTTTTAAAGGTTGAGATAGAATTACATAAGATAAAGCCTTTGGAAAATCTGAATGCACAGCTGTGGATTACTGTTATCCATTTATTCTGCTTACCTCAGGTGAATTGGCAACTCTGCGCCCTAGTCTTCACTTAAGCTTCCACGTGTGTACCCCTTTATGGCGAATGATGAGGTTGTACCAGCTTTTGAATTCAGTCTTGGTCACCTAGGTCTATATTCTCTCTGTTATTTGTTTATATCATTGTGGTCTTAGATTGTCAGTTGTAAGAGGGCATAGCCTCCTTTTGTGTTGTGGTGGTTTTGTTTTCTGTTTGTTAATATTATGGCAACATAGTGTGTTGGTTCATATCCTGACTCCACATGGAAACTTTGGACAAGCCTTAGTCTCAGTTTCCTCACCTTGAATGAGGGAATAATGAAATACATTTGTTACAAGGAGTTAATGGGTTATTCTTATGTGCCGACAGCTGAATCAGTATTAACTGCTTCTGTCTTCCAGCCCACGTCATCCTCATCATTGTCATCATTATTAACCCTCTGGAATTGTAGAAGATTTTTACAGTATGCTAATATATGTGTAGAGGCACCACAAGGGAGATTTAAAACCAGTATGTCCTACAGGAAAGTAACTGTGTGCGCGTGCTAAGCTGCTTCAGTCGTGTCTGACTCTTTGCAACCCCGTGGACTGCAGCCCGCCAGGCTCCTCTGTCCATGGGATTTCTCAGGCAAGAGGACTGGAGTGGGTTGCCACGCTCTCCTACAGGGGACCTTCACAACCCAGGGATCGAACCGTGCCTCTTTCCTGCCCAGTATTGGGAGGCGGGCTCTTTACCACTAGTGCCACCTGGGAAGCCCAGAAAGGGGCTGCGAGCAAGCTAAACCCGAGGCTCAGTAGTCTGTCTCGGATGCATAGTCCAGGCTGGCGTTGTGTAACAAGCTTGTACACATGGTGGAGATAAAAGGAAGCTGTTTTATTATGAATATTTAAGTTCAGGGTTAGGTTTTTGAAATTTTGACAGATGTGAAATTTGCAATCAGTGGGCCCTAACTACAGCCCTATGCGCCTCATGCGCACAGGTTTGTTTTCAGAGGTGAGATTTCACTTTGGATTTGTGTCTCTAGTGGTTTTGCCTCATTGATTCAAATAGCATCGGCTGCGTTTAACTCCTAAGGCGCCAGTAGGGTGATTTTATGATGCCTGGGTAATAGACTAAATCTTCATTTTGGAAGTTTCTGTTAACATTTGTTTATATCCCAAATAGTCTGTAGATGATGTGGTAAAATGGAAAGAAGTGAGAAGATATTACTGCTTTATGCAGTGTATCCTGTGCTTTTTAAAGACCACTGTTAACATCTTCTGTTAGATTAAATAAGCTTTCTCTGTTTCATATTTCATCATCAAAACTGAGGGACCCTTGCTCAGTGTGAAAGCAGAGAAGTGGTTTGCATTCGACTCAGTGGCTGCGGCCTGGGGCCACATGGCGGGGACATCCTCCCGCACTCCCTTCCCCTTCCCAAGGGCAGCTGACCTTCTCCTCTCCAAAGAGGCGAGCCCCTTGCCAGCGCATATGACTACAGACTATTACATTAATCTGTTTAGCTATAGTACCAGCTGCTTGCATGTTTTTAATTATCTTATTAGATGGTATAAGACTGACCTATGGAATAAATTGAAGGTGAACATTTTTAGGTTTTCCCTTTTTTACTCTATGTTTCTAAATATCTTTATTGATCGAATTATGGTATTCTGTAAAAGTACATTGAAAGTGTATATGGTTTTTGAATCAATGTAATGCTCTTTAAAGTATAGTGTTATAATTACCAGTATAAAAGTAACTTCATTTTTGCCTCATTTTTTATAAGATTTAGGTTGTGTTTATGTGGCCACAAATTCATGTGAAAATTCATGTGAGTTTCTCTGGGAAACTCAAAATATTGCTTAGATTCAGATAACATCTTGGCATTGTATAAATGGCATAAGATGGAATATAAATATAGATCATTTTAAAATAAATTTGTCTATTTAACTCTGATTTTTTTTTAATTCTTTGTAGTCAGTGGTAGATCATCTAGCTGACCCTAATTATTTTTACAATTTAATTTCACATGGTACTATTTCTGAGTGTATTTTCCCAAGCTGCACCGTTAGAAAAAATGTATCATCTTCTGGATTTTGACAACTGGATATTTTTCAAATAATACTTAAATAGAATGTTGACTCCAAAAGGCGCAGTTCAAAATAATAATGACCAGTAATTATTCAGTTATAGGCAATCAATAAAAATTATAATAACTTAGTCAGAAGCTCTGATGTTTAATTAAAAAGGAGGTAGTTGGATGCAAAAAGGGACTGCAAAATACTTACGTGTGTCATCTGAACTAGCAGATCCTACAGCTGGCATGATGCAGTGATTTGAGCCTTGAAAAATTTATAGTCTTTGAATACTTACAGACTACACATTATTTGTTTTCTTAATTAAGAAATATTCAGACTTTTTGGCTTCCGTAGTTTTTTCCCTCTAAAGGAAGATCAAGTTTCATATTTCAAAAGGACTTTTGGTAAATAAGGGAAATTTTTCCTGTTTATATATTTTATTTTCTTTTTAAAGAAGGAAAATGAAAAGCCACTTGGGGCTGAAGTACTGGCGTATCATTTCTTGATATTGACTGGAGCTTCAGAGTTGCCTCCTTTTCTCCATATGGTATTTTCTGTAGCTCCTAGAGTCAACGTTAAAAGTTTAAGTGGGTTAATATGTTTTTTTTTAATTGGTATAAGTTGGTTAAAAGTTTTTTTAAAAAATATAGTTGATTCAACATTTTGAATTTAAAAGTTGTCTTTTTCTGAATAAGTAAAGAAAACATTAATGTGAACTTTCTTTAGTCATTGAGGAAATTTTAAAAATTAAACTTAAGGTTTTATTGCAAAGACATTTATGTGTCCTATTTACATGTGATTAATAATTTGAAAGGATGTGGGAAAATATCCTTACGTCATTTACATTTATTTTTGGTATAGTATCTCTCCCCCATTTGTATGTAAGAGGGTCATATGTCTCTTGAAATGGAAGTGAAGCAGTGACTCAAAATGTTAGAAATAATAGGGCAAAAGCATGCTTTGGATTTAA